AGCAATTTTCCTGCTCGCGCCTACCAATCTACTCACTTCGAAAAGGATTAAAACCCAATCACTGCGGATGCGATATGGGAACAGATCAACCCTAAACACTAGGTGGGCTGCGCGTTTAGGGTTGATTGATCCAAAAATGCATTCAGGTTCCTTTCGGGTTGTTTGTTTGTTTGTTTGTTTTTTTTTGCGGGGGTTTTATCTACGACCATTCGCTCGATTGTCATGTGAAACGTCTTATCAAACATGTGAAAACCTCCTTTGCAATGACCATATTTTTTTCCTTTTCTTTTCAGATGAAAGATACATTATAAAGTGCACAATACATCAGTAGTCGTAACTGTTGCTGATGGGCATAAGGGGCGTGAACCCGCCGTACCAATCCAGGATAGCTAGGGAGGTCGGAAAGCTGCTCTCGGGTTGGACCAGGTGTACATGAAACCCTTCGCCCACGTGGCCGGCTTCGTTGTGCTGTCAAGAATCCTGCCCAGGGTATGACGCTCGTCATTATCCAACCCGGTATGAGTAGTACTGAGCCTCCATGATGCTGCCTTGGCGTGCTTGAAAATTCATACATGTAGCTAAAAGGCTGCCACAATCCTCCGCAGAGCCCTTCTTTCGCGGAACATGCTTCTCTCAAAAGTCACGTCACATCTTTCCACCCAGATGCAATGAAGAGCGATAGACGTGAGTGTAGCCTCGGGAAAACCAGAAGTTGTCCCTTCGCACTGGAGAAGCAGGTCCCCCAATGACTCGATTTTCCGCCTCGTATTGAGCATGTGAAAGGCGTTCAGGAGCGCCCGAACCACCGGCTGGATGCGCGGGCTGTTGAAGAGCCCATGCACCAGCGTCTCTTTTTCCCCACGGTGCGGGCATGCAACCCCAGCGCCCAGGAAATGCAGGCGCTCCCCCACCTAGAGGTTACGGCTGTGAATCCAAGCATCACATCCCGCGCTCGGTTCGGGAGGACCTCTGAGTCCTGTACCCCGATCACCCTCTGCCAACCAATTTGGTGCCCCAGCAAATCTTCCCAGGCAAACTACTGCTTCGGCTTGCCACCGTTCCTCTTGAAACCCTCTTTGAGCTGTTTGAGCTGCACCAGACCATCCCCCGCCCAGATTGGCGAGCACAGTAACTTCGCTCTGGGGGCGCCAGCGGGGCCATAAAACCAATCCCCCCTGACCACGGTGGCACCACCTCCCGAGGCTCAAACACACGGAGCTTCTCCTCAGCGCCCTCCAGGACCCCCCGAAAACAACCGAGTGCTCGGCAAACAAGGGTTTCCCTTTACACGCTCTAGATTCTCCAGATGTCATGGCTGATGCCTGCTTTCAGCGCATACTTTGACGCCGCCAGCAGCATGCGCGCCGTAACCAGCGCAAGAAGGAAATGTTTCCAGTCGCTCGGGGCCGCATCAAATATCTTTTTGGCCAGACGCGCCCCTGCTGCACCGCATAACTCCCTTTCCAACACTTTCGAATCCTTTAGCATTTTGGTCCCATCCTCCGCCACAGTGATTAAGTTCCCCATGGTCGCCCGCTTAAGATGCTTTGCAGCTTTTTGCTTCCCTGTATGTGTCTTCCCGTTTGGCAGCAAGCGTCGATTGAAGAGGAGAAGTTCCTGCTCCACCTCCCAGGAGGTTGTTACATCAATGCTCGCAGGTGCGCTTCCATCTCATACTCCTCCCGCTCCATTTCTTCGACAGCCCTGCATGCGCCCAGAAGATCAGGAGGTCCGGCATTTCCATTTTGCTGTCCCCAAGTCCGCACGGAGCCCCAACGGCTGCGACGCCAACAGCGCAATCCTTCTGGCTGCTAGGCCTCCCAGCTCCGCGAACGGATCACGGACCCCGAGCCCTCCCTCCCATCTTGGCTTGAACATCAGCTTTTGACTCCAGAGGGCGAAGTGCTTCCCCGGCATCGCGTGATTACCGGTGACAAAATTGTGCAGAAGCTTCACTATCTTCTCCCATATTCCGGCGGTGGGGGGTACACCTGCCCTTGGAAGGCGAGGACTAGGTTGACGTAGCCGTTCACAATGGCAACCCTCGCCATGGTGGTTAGGAAGTGGACCTGCCACTTCACAAACTGCGAAGTTGCCCGCACCAGGGTGATCTTCTAGGTCACTGCCGCGTCCCCTAAAGGTGAGCTCCACACCCCCAGCAGCCTCTCCGCCTCATTCGGAAGCACCCATTTGAAAGCTAACTTCTTGTCTGGTTTCCGCCGCAGATTCTTGTCGAACGGGAGAAGCGCGGAATTCTCCTTGTTCACATGCAACCCCGACTTCGCGCCAAAATCCTCCAGCAACTTAACCGGCCAATCTGCCTTATCCCCTTCAGCACCAGTATCGTGTCATCGGCATACCCCAGGCATGCCAGCCTCTCGCCATACGGATTGCTAATTCCCAGCTTCCTTCTCATTGCTTCTTGGCATATGGGCTCCACCGCGCAAAGGCACGGATAAGGCGCCAGCGAATGCCCCTGCCATACGCCTTTCCGTACCTCCACGCGCTCCCCCAGCCAGCAGTTGAGTAACAGCCGCGTTGATGAGCCTTTGTGAAGACCAATCCACTAGCCCACGAACCTCCGCAAGAACCCCATCCGCTCCATTGTGCCGAAAAGATACTCCTGCGAGACAGAATCGAAGGCCTTCGGAAGTCTACCAGCAGGAAATACCAGTCCGCGTCCTTGCTCTTCGCCACATCAACAACATCGGCAACCAGCGATACCGCATCCGAGAGTCTTCTTCCCGGCACGAAACCATAATGCTCCCCCGAGATTACCTTGTGCAGCACCTTCCTCATTCTGTTTGCTAGAATACGGGCCACCATCTTGTATGTGCTGTTGAGAAGCGTAATGGGCCGGTAGTTGTGAATCTGATCCTTCGCCCCTTTTTAATGCAGCAGGACAGTGACGACTTCTAGCGCCAAAGCAGGGAGTGTTAACGGGAGTGGAGTGTTGGCCCCGCCCTCGCTTGGGCAACGCCGACGACTTGGTCAGATGTACGGGAGAAGCAACCAACCATTCACAGTGAGGGAGCTACTCAACGGGCTTCATCAAGCTGCAGGGATCACAGTGGTGTTGCCGTCGACCAGAGGTGCTCGACGGTTGAAGCTGACTGGGCTGGTCGACGGGTGGGTCGTCGACCAGGAGGAGCAGTTCGACGGGGAGGTCGACGAAGCAGTCCGTCGACCTGACATGTGAGCAGCGGGGAGCTCGGCAACAACAGCTAGCCCCCTTCGTCGACCAGGTGGTGGCTCAACGGGAGCTGTGGTCGACCAGAGGCACCTAGTGGTCGACAAGAGGCACCTGGTGGTCGACCAGAGCACTTGGTGGTCGACCAAGTCGACCAGGTAACCTGCTCGGCGAGTTTTGCGGAGGCACGCGAACGTCGTCGAGGTCGCAGTGACGAAGGCGACTTTGGGCTGGTATCCCGAAGTCGATGTGGCTCGCCAAGCGCAGACCAAGGCCGACGGATACACAACGATGCAAGTCGGGCCAATCGTCTGTGCGCACCTGCATACGTGCGTACTGCTGTCTTCTACGGGGCAACGCTGGACAACCGCACTGCTGCAGCATTGGCACGCCGTTGGTCTGCAGTTTTGGCAAGTCGCCTTTCTGCAGTGCTGGCGCGGCTCCTCTACGCAACGCTGGTAGGCGGTCGACCATGTAGTGTTGGTAGTCGACTAGGCTAGCTGCAAAGTTGCTAGGTGCCTGATGTAGTCATTTCCGTCATTGCTTGTTCAATAATTTTCAAAATGCAATCTTTGTCTAGTGAAACTCTTGCCAATTTCTCCCGCGAACGTGCAAGCGCTAAGCAACTAAGCAAAGCTACGATCGCTCCTAGTAGTTCGTGCCAACTCCCCCCCCCGTAGTCTAGCTCACTACTTTGTCGAGTGACTCTTCGCAGGGAAGACCACCGTCCCTTTGAAACCCTTCACGAAGCTGAGGAGATCGCCCCCCAGCTGGTCCCAGTAGTGGCTAAAAAGGTCTTTCGGGACCCCATCAGCCCCGGGGGACTTTCCCACCGCCATGTCCTTAAGAGCTTGCCTGGCCTCTTCTTCCCACCACTCAGCATCCAACACATGAGCCTCGTCTTCCCCCAGCCTTTTGTCCGGTGCGATGTGCCAGAGCGATTGGTCAACCGCTGGATCCGGCCCAGGGAATAACTCCGCATAAAACTCTGAGGCCACCTCCAATATCCCTTTCGTGTCTTTGCGCAAGGCACCCTTCCACTACAACTCCGTAATAATTGTCCTCTCCTTGCTTGTTTTCACCTTAGTCGAGAGCAACTTCCTCGGAAACCCCCCCTCCTTCAGCTCGCGCACACCGGACATGAGCATCAGCCGTCCTAGTTGGGACTCCTTCACCGTCAGCACATCTCTCTGGATAGGGAAACTCGGGTAATGCATCACCTCCTGCTGGAGCACAGCAACCGCCGTCTCGAAGTGGTGAAGAGTCGATTTGACCTCTTCCTCTCCTCCGTTGTGTATCTCCGCAGCACCGCGTGCAACCTCCGCATCAGAAGGCCGAAAGCACTGAGTTCATTTAATGGTACGCATCCGTGAGATAGTGCGCTGAACAGATCTGCATAAGCCTGACGTTTTCACCCGCCGAACCCGCCGCTAATGCTCTGTCGAGCAGAGGGTCTTCTACCAGGTTCAAGTCCCCAATGAGCAGGAAGTTTGACTTTCCCGTAGAGTGTGTCAAGAATGGCCACATAACAAAAAAGGGGCGACGGCTGCAAGCCTTGAGTCGCAAGCACCGTGCAACTAAACGAGTCCCACTGGACATCAGCCTGGAGCAGCCGGCCTGAGCCGTAAGCGATAATGTTAGAAAATGTGTGAGCTTTATTGAAACTGATGATAGCTACCCCCTTTGCCTACCCCGCAGGACCGATCGCGTGGCAGTGAGGGGCCTTAAGCTTCTTCCATAAGTCATTATCAACACCGATGCGAGTGTCTGCTTCCCTCTGCTTCCGAGCCCATTGACGTTGAGCTCACGAATGGTCAGGTCAGAGGCTTTATTCATTGGGAAACTGCGGGAAAGCCCCAAGCATCCACGGGCTGAGCGAGACACCGACGACAGATGTATAGTAAGCAAATACATATACGATGGACCCTAATGACACTACGCTAACTCCATCTGAGCTCCCCTTCCTCCAGGTCACAGGCCGTAATCTTTCTTCAACGCTTTGAGATTGATCCTCCCTTTCATCACCCGTAGCTGCTCTCCACCCTTCGGAGCCCCATGATGGTGACGCTGCAAAAGCGCATGGTGCGCGCCCTATTCAAAGGAGGAACCATGGGCCTTCTTGTCAAACTAACGAACAAGAATGAATTAACTATGAAAGAGTTGGGTACAAATACTAACCCTAATTGGGTTGTACCCCTTATTGGCTACCCCACTATAGCCTACACAAATGTAAGCACTATAACATTCTGACACACCCCCATAGGCAAAGTGGGGGAGAACAAGTGGTCACAAGACCAATCAAGAAAAGCAAAGCAAGCTCAGGGTGGATCACGTCACTGTCAAACTTATATGCTATAGTCTGTTTAGGCTGTAGTGGGGTAGTTCTTATAGGGTACAACACTTTTAGGTTTGCCACTTGTACCCACCTGCTTCCCAATTCAGTCATTTATTCGTTCCATATTCTAACATGGTATTCTGAGCAGGCTCCCTCGTGGGAACGTTTTTTTTAGGGCCCATCACGAGATTTTTTTTTTCCTGTCCTGCCCAAAGCGCGCCTCGCGCCCGCCTTACCTGCGCCGTCGCCCGCCCTTCCCTAGCCGGCCCGTTGCGGCACCTACTGCCGACGCGGCCCCTACTGCCTTCGCGGCCCCTGCTGCCGACGCGGCCCCTGCTGCTATCGCGGCCCTTGCTGCCGTCGCGGCCCCTGCTGCCGCCGCGGCTCCTACTGCCGTCGCGGCCCCTGCTACTGTCGCGGCTCCTGCTGCCGTCGCGGCCCTTGCTGTAGTCGCGGCCCCTACTGCCGTCGCGGCCCTGCTCCCGTCGCGGCCCCTGCTGCCGTCGTGGCCCTTGCTGCCGTCGCGGCCCCTGCTGTCGCGGCCCCTGCCGTCGCGGCCCCTGCCGTCGCGGCCCCTGCCGACACGGCCCCTGCTGTCGCGGCCCCTGCCGTCGCGGCCCCTGCTGTCGCGGCCCCTGCCGTCACGGCCCCTGCCGACGCGGCCCCTGCCGTCGCGGCCCCTGCTGTCGCGGCCCCCGCTGTCGTGGCCCCTGCAGTCGCGGCCCCTGTCGTCGCCGCACCTGCAGTCACGGCCCCAGCCGCCGCGGCCCCTTTGCTGTCGCGGCCCCTGCAGTCGCGGCCCCTGCTGTCGCGGCCCTGCCATGCACCCGCCCCTGGTAAGCACCCGCGCCGCCCTGCTGCGCCGCGCCGCCAGGGGTGAGACGCGCCGCCCAACCGAGCCGCGCCGCCCACCGAGCCGCGCCGCTCTGCCGAGCCGCACTGCCCTGCCGAGCCGCGCTGCCCTGCCGAGCCGCGCCGCCCTACCGAGCCGCGCTGCCCTACTGAGCCGCACTGCCCTGCCTGCACTGCTCCTACTGCCACTGCTGCTTCTACTACTGCTGCTGCTACTGCTGCTATGACTAGCCCTACTGTTCTCACATTTGATTCTGAGGGGCGTGCAGTTGACTTTGATGTGTGGGTTGACGACCTGCAGCTCTTTCTTCAGTGTGACTCTAGGGATGGGGTATCCCTTTTCGATCACACGTCCGGTGTCTCTACTGCTCCTGCTGCCACTGCTGACAGTACGGTTCGCTCGCAGTGGACCACTCGAGACGCTGTTGCCCGTCTTGCTGTTCGTAGTCACCTGCCGCCTGCTGAGCACGCGCATTTTGGCCAGTACAAGACTGCTCAGTCTTTGTACGACGCTGTAGTTGCGCGCTACTCCTCCCCTGCCACTGCTGCCCTCAGCCGCCTCATGCTGCCGCACCTTTTCCCTAACCTTGCCACCTTTGCCACAGTTGCTGACCTCATTACTCACCTCCGCACTAGTGACGCCCGCTACCGCGCTGCCCTTCCCACTGAGTTCTGTGCCAAGAACCCCCCCCCCCATGTACATCACCCTTTACTACCTAGTCACCCGCCTCCCTGACTCGCTTGCTTCAGTCAGGGACCACTTTCTCTCCCTTTGCCCCACCGAGCTCACTATCGACCTGCTAGAGGAGCGCCTCGCTGCAGCTGAGAAGAGTATCTTACGGCAACCGTCGCACCCCTTTCTTTGAGGGGTGTTCCCCTGTTCCCGTTCTCCCCTCTGTTGCTTCTGCTGCTGCTGTCGACCTCGTTGGCACTGAGGAGGTCGGGGCTGCGTCTGCTCCCAGTAGGAGGCGCCGCAACAGCAAGGGCAAGGGGAGCAAGGGTGGTGGAGGGGACGGCGAAGGCGGCGGCGGAGGCGGTGGAGGAGGCGGAGGGGGTGGCGGTGGAGGTGGGGGTGGTGCCGGGAGTGGGGGCTTCAGTGGCGGCGGTTGAGGTGGTGGAGGCAGCGGCGGAGGTGGTGGAGGCAGCGGCAGCGGTGGTGGAGGCAGCGGCAGCAGTGGTGGAGGTGGCGGCGGCGGCGGTGCTGGTCGAGGTGCAGCCGCGATGCGTGGAGGCTTCGGTGGTAGCCAGCGCCAGCAGGAGCCGCGTTCCCGTGAGACCCCGTCGGCCCAGCAGCTTCGTGAGTGGTACGCTGGGCGTGGGAGGTCTGGGGGTGCTGGTCCCTGCACTTACGTTCTTCGCACCGGCACGCGCCGTGGGGAGACGTGCGGGCTACCACACACTGCGCAGCGCTGCTTCGGTCGCTTGACTGACGCCTGGCGCGCCCAGTTTCCGGACGCTGTTGAGCTCCCTCGCTGGGGTGATCTGCTTAGGCAGAATGTTGCTATCTTTGATCTTGATTTCGATGCTATCCTTGCTGCAATGTATGCTTTGACTGATAGTGCTGAGGGTGACTGTTACCTGAGTGTCCCGCCTGACCCGGGCATAGCGGTTGCTGCTCTAGGTGCTAGTGCGTCTGCTGCTCCAGGTACTGGTGAGTCTGCTGCTCCAGGTGCTGGTGAGTCTGCTCTCTCTGGTACTGCACCTACTGAGGCCTTGCACACTTTCACACTTTACTCTAGTTCTTCGCGCTCCTTCTTCCGCGACAGCACCACACTCACGCCGCTCAGTCGGCCTGTCGCAGTCTCCCTGGCTGACCCCTCTGGGGGCCCAGTCCTTGCGCACTCCTCCACGGTTCTACCATGTCCTGCGACCCCGTCGGGCTTGCTGTCGGGACTCCACCTCCCCTCGTTCTCTACGAACCTGGTGAGTGGAGCTGACCTCCAGGACGCTTGGGTTGACCAGTTCACCCCTGGAGGTCAGCGTGTGACCCACTGCACTTGCTCTCGGACGGGCCGCCACCTGGCCACGTTCACCCGTCCGCCTGGGTCGAGTCTGTACACACTGACTACTGCGTCTCCTCCGGTCACTGCGTCTGGTCAGGTAGTCGCATCTAGTCAGGTGTTTGCTGCCACGTCCAGGTCTCGTCCTGAGTCCGCCCCCTGCTCGTGTCGTCCTCTGTCGCACGAGACTCTCCTTTGGCACCACCGCCTTGGTCACCCCTCTCTGCCTCGTCTTCGAGGTATGGCCTCCCATACCCTTGTCTCGGGTCTCCCCCGGTCCCTCCCTCCCCTTCCTCCGGGGCCTGCCCCTACCTGTGTTCCTTGTGTCGAGGGCCGACAGCGCGCCGCTCGCCACTCCTCCACCTTCCCTCCGACGGAGGCTCCCTTGCAGACTCTTTACATGGACGTGTGGGGCCCAGCCCGCGTCCGTGGACAGGGTCACGAGCGTTACTTCCTACTGGTCGTTGACGACTACTCGCGTTACACCACAGTCTTCCCCTTGCGCGGCAAGGGTGAGGTCACTGAGGTGTTGATCGACTGGATCCACGGTGCCCGTCACCAGCTCAGCGAGCGTTTTGGCTCGGACCTTCCTGTTCTGCGTCTGCACTCAGACAGAGGTGGTGAGTTTTCCTCCGACCTTCTGAGGGCCTTCTGTCGTGCGGAGGGCATCCGCCAGACGTTCACGCTTCCGGCCTCCCCACAGCAAAATGGGATTGCTGAGCGCCGCATTGGCATGGTCATGGACGTCGCTCGTACATCCATGATCCATGCGGCTGCTCCCCATTTTTTGTGGCCGTTCGCGGTTCAGTACGCTGCGCATCAGATCAACCTTCAGCCTCGTGTCTCCTTGCCGGAGACCACACCTACTCTGCTGTGGACGCGGAAGGTTGGCGATGCGTCTGTGTTCCGTGTCTGGGGATCTCGAGCTTTTGTCCGCGATACTTCCGCGGACAAGCTGTCCTCTCGTGCCGTTCCCTGCGTCTTCCTTGGCTTCCCTCCTGACGCACCCGGATGGCAGTTCTACCACCCCACCTCACGTCGTGTTCTGTCCTCTCAGGACGTCACGTTTGACGAGTCGATGTCTTACTACCGTCTCTTTCCCTACCGCACTGCCTCCCTCCCACCCCCCGCCACTCTTCCTAGCACCAGGTACTCCTCCGGTAGACCCCCTCCCCCCTCAGGGTCCTGCCCCCTCAGGTGTGTCCTAGGAAGACCCTGCCAAGCCGGTCGAGGTAGCTGTCGACTCAGGTGCTGCTAGGGGTGCTGAGCCTGCGGGTGCGGGGACTGGGGGTGCTGAGCCTGGGGTTTCTGTGTCTGAGGGTGCGGAGCCTGGGGGTGCTGTGCCTGAGCGGGTGGAGCCTGGGGGTGCTGAGTGTGGGGGTGCTGAGCCTGCGCGTGCTGTGTCTGGAGGTCCTCCGGGTGTCCCGTCGCGGTGGGAGCCCCTCTCTCCGCGGCAGCTTCGTGAGTGGTACGCTCGACGCTGCCGAGGTGCTGCTGGTGCTGCTGGTGCTTAAGGTGCTGCTGGAGCTACTGGAGGTGCTGCTGGTACTGGAGCTGCTAGAGGTGCTCCTGGAGCTGCTGGAGGTGCAGCTGGTGCTGCTGGTGCTGGAGGTGCTGCTGGAGCTGCTGGGGGTGCTGTTGGTGCTGGAGCTGCTGGAGGTGCTCCTGGAGCTGCTGGAGGTGCTGCTGGTGCTGGGGGTGTTGCTGGAGCTGCTGGAGGTGCTGCTGGTGTTGGAGCTGCTGGGGGTGCTGGAGCAGCTGGTCCTGGAGGTGCTCGTACTGAAGGTACTGGAGCTGCTGGGGCTGGTGGTGCTGCAGGAGTTGGAGCTGCAAGTGCTGGAGCTGCTGGAGGTACTGGAGCTGGTGGTGCTGCGGGCGTTGTAGCTGGCGACCCTGCTGCGGGTACTGGTGCTATCTCTGCTGTTTCTGGAGGCGCTGCGCGGCCGCGGCCGTACTACGTTCCGCTCCTTCAGCAGGTTCTTGGTCTCCCGCCTTCTCCTGGCCCTCCTCCTCCTTTCCTGAGTCCACCGCCTGTCCAGTCACAGTCGCAGTTCCAGCCAGCCTCTCCAGTGCCTGGTCCTTCTCCTTACTCTGGACCAACTAGAGGTCTTACGGAGCGTCGTGAGCCTGAGTCGCGTCCTGTGTTGCCTGAGTCTCGTCCTGCGTCACCTGAGTCTCGTTCTGCGTCGCCTGTTCACACTATTTGCGCTGGTTGTCGTGTTTCGCGTCCGCGTCCTCCTCCTGTCCCTGGCACTCACTCTATGACACTGCGTCCTTCCACTGCTCCACATTGTGTCCCTCTGTCGTCTCCTCTTGCGTCCTCTCTTCCTGACGGTCCGGACCCGTAGTCTGACTCCCTTCGTGCTGCTAGTCCTACTGTCACGCGCTTTCTGGCCACTGCTGTCACTGCCCCTTTGTTTGAGTCCGCTGCTGCGTCTGCTCTCGTTGCTGAGCTTGTTGACTTTGCTGCAGCCTGTCGCCTAGACTACGCCACTAGTCTTGCTGCTGAGTCTGCGTCTGCGTCTGTCTGTCCTCCTTCCGTCGGGGGTGAGTGTGCTCTTGGCACGGACGTTCTTGAGGACAGACAGGAGGAGTTTGAGTGCTTTTCCGCTGCTGTACCCCATCTCGTGTCCATGCTGCTTGCCCCTGAGGGAGACCCGGATGCACCAGACATCCCGACCCCGCGCTCTTACGCAGAGGCGATAGAGGGTCCCTACTCCTCTTAGTGGCAGGCAGCCATGGATGCCGATATGGCATCCTGGAAGTCCACAGGCACCTACGTCGACGAGGTTCCCCCGCCTGGGGCGAACATCGTCAGTGGCATGTGGGTCTTCAGGGTGAAGCGGTCGCCGGGTTCTCTGCCTGTCTTCAAGGCGCGTTACGTTGCACGTGGCTTCAGTCAGCGACAGGGAGTTGACTTCTTCTAGACCTTCTCCCCTACCCCGAAGATGACCACTCTTCGGGTACTGCTGCACGTCGCCGCTCACCGTGACTACGAGCTCCACTCGCTTGACTTCAGCACAGCCTTCCTACAGGGCAGCCTGCACGAGGAGATCTGGCTGCGCCGCCCACCTGGCTTCACTGGGTCGTTTCCTGCTGGTACCCAGTGGAGCCTCCGGCGGCCAGTCTACGGTCTCCGCCATGCACCCCGTGAGTGGCACGACACACTGAGGACGACTCTTGCTGCTCTTGGTTTTGCTCCTTCCACTGTTGACCCGTCGCTGTTTCTACGCACTGACACCACTCTGCCACCATTCTACGTTCTCGTGTACATAGACGACTTGGTCTTTGCTACTGCTGACACTGAGGCACTCGCCCACGTGAAGTCCGAGCTGCAGAAGAGACACACGTGCACAGACCTGGGTGAGCTCACAAGCTATCTTGGCTTGCGGATCACCCGGGACAGAGCACAGTGCACCATTACCTTGACTCAGGTGCAGCAGGTCCTTCAGCGCTTCGGCTTCACGTACTCCTCGCCACAGTCCACTCCTCTGCCTACCGGTCACTCGCTCTCAGCTCCACCTTCGGACGAGTCCGTAGAGCCGAGTGGCCCGTATCCAGAGCTTGTGGGCTGCCTCATGTACCTGATGACTTGCACACGACCTGACCTTGCATACCCTCTCAGCCTTCTCGCTCGCTACGTGGCTCCCGGTAGGCACCGAAAGGTGCACTGGGATGTTGCGAAGAGGGTGTTGCGCTACTTGTGCAGTACGTCGGGCATGGGGCTCGTGCTTGG